AATACTAGAAATGGAAAAAGATGGGAAAGCCTATACCTCTGTTTATGTATTGTCTGTCCTTGTTAATTGTATAATGGCATTAAATATTTGCTGTATATGTGTTCTGTAATCCACCCTGAGTCCCCTCGGGGAGATAGAGCAGAATATAAATAATGATGATGATGATGATGATGATGATGATGATGATGATGATGAGTAGTAGTAGTAAAGAAAAGGAACAAATTGGATTGGCTACTGCTAGTTGCAATTATAATGTGAATTACAGGTGATACTCTGGTATTTGTGGATGTAACATACTCTGATTATTTCATTCTGTACTGTTGTAGTTTACTTCAGAATCATGCAATTGTGTTGCCCAAAAAATCTACAAAAAGTCATGAAATGTTTTAAGTAAGTTAATGAATTTGTATTGAGCTGCATTCATAGCTGTCCTGGGCCAATGCAGCCTGTGGGCCATAAATTGGAAAAGTCTTTTTTAGAGCATCTGTAGTCTTTCCAAAACTTTCCGTTCAGTTAGCTCAGCAGGCTACTCACAACTGCACTTCTCTGGGGTGAACTCTGTCTTCATCACCCTGAAGCAGTGTTTCTCAACCTTTCTAATGCCGCGACCCCTTAATACAGCTCCTCAAGTTGTGATGGACCCCAACCGTAACATTATTTTCATTGCTACTTCATAACTGTAATTTTGCTACTGTTATGAATTGTAATGTAAATATCCAATATGCAGAATATATTTTCATTCACTGGACCAAATTTGGCACAAATACCCAATACGCCCAACTTTGAATACTGGTGGGGTTGGAGGGGATTGGTTTTGTCATTTGGGAGTTGTAGTTACTGTGATTTATAGTTCACCTACAATCAAAGAGCATTCTGACCTCCACCAACGACAGACAGAGCCTCCATGACCAACAGAAAATACTGAAAGAGTTTTGTGGGCATTAACCTTGAGTTTTGGAGTTGTAGTTCACCTACATCCAGAGAGCACTGTGGACTCAAACAATGATAGATCTGGACCAACTTGGCACGAATACTCTATGTGCCCAAATGAGAACACTGATGGAGTTTGGGGAAAATAGACCTTGACATTTAGGAGTTGTAGTTGCTGGGATTTATAGTTGGACCTAGAAGTAATTTGGACCTAGAAGTAACTCGGCACACAGAACCCCCATGACCAACAAAAATACTGGAGGTCTTTGGAGGGATTTAGAGGAGTTGTAATTCACCTACATCCAGAACACACTCAATATGCCCAAATGTGAACAATGGTGGAGTTTGGGGAACATAGACCCTGACATTTGGGAGTTGTAGTTGCTGGGATTTATACTTACTTGCTTTACTTACTTACTTACTTAGGAAATCCCTCATTGTCCAAGTAGGATGATCCTCCAGGGATGGTCCGCAGGTGACTATGGCTTTTTTGGGCACAGGGTGGTGACCCCACTGGATGCGGCAGTTCAGTCAGGGATAAGAGAGGCAGACTATGTTTAGGGCACCTTTTCTAGCCCCTTCCCCGTGTGGGGTGAGCAAAGTGGATCCTCAAAAGGGCTGCTCAGTCATGGATACAGCTGCTGAAGTACTCAACTGCCTCAGGCTTTGAGGTAGAACGACTGAGTCCGCATCCACCGCCCATGTGCCAGTCTGTGACTAGGGGCTTCCAGATTTCACAGTCTTGCCCCCCGTTGCCACTCGCTAATCACCATGGGACTTTTGTTGGTTTGTTTGGTTGGCTTTTTTCCCTTGGAAGACGCAGAGATTTATAGTTCACCATTCTGAACCCCACCACGATACAATTGGGTCAAACTTCCCACACAGATGCAGGCGAAACGTCAGGAAAGAAAGCCTCTAGAACATGGCCATATAGCCCTACAACAACCCAACTTCCCACACAGAACCCCCATGCCTTGAAGGGACTCGCTGGAGTGAGTCTCCCTCCAGCCTCGCATGCTCTCCCTCTCCCTGAGCTCGCCTGCTCTCCCCTCCCCGCTTGGAGACTCAGAAACAGCCCTGTTTGGAGAGGTCAACTGAGAGGCGAGCCAATCACAGCAGAGAAGGGCTTTTGGTGGAAGGATTCGCCATTTGTTTCCAAAAAGGAAGAGAAGGACAGGCGGAGAGATCTTCAGCCTTCTCTTCCAAAGGAATTTCTAAGACCATCAGAAATATATGTTTTCTGATGGTCTTTGGGGACCTCTGAAACCTCCTGGCGACCCACCTAGGGGTCCTGACCTCCAGGTTGAGAAACACTGTCATAAAAAAAATGAGAGCATCTTGCAGCCGCTTGTCCATGATGGTCTCTCCATTTTATTCATTCCCCCTGTAGCTCAGCTTTTGCCTTTGCTGTAAACTCAGTTCCTCTTGTGGTTTGATGCATCTGTAAATCATAAGTGTAGTTCATCCCAAGGACTTGTTTTCCTTCAGCTTCTCCTTAGGGTTTTCACAATACCTGCAGCCACCATGATTTATTTCTGCATGGAGCCAATTGTCCTTCTTTCTGTGAATGATTGCTCTTCTGCAGAGCATGGGTGGCAGAGCCGATGACAAAAATGCTTCATTTTCCTCCAGACATCAAGATGGAGGCTTAAGCCCTGAAATATCAGGTCATACAGACAGACATAACAATCCTTGATCTAAAAAGAAAAGGCGCCTTTGCCAGCCTGTGTTATGGAACCTATTTGTTAGTGGCTTATCAGAAAGGTTAGCTCAACTCTTTGAAGTAGACGCCATCTTGGATGATGCCTTTTTCTGGATTCCTAAAAGCTGACGTTGTGACTCATGCTCTCCAATTGGCTTTAATTACTGAAAAGCACATTCTGTTCCGAGTATCACCCTGAGTCCCAAGGGGAAAATATCAAAGCTCCTGGAGTTAAATTGGGTTCATCACTATAGATGGTTCGAAATCCAGGTCCTTGTCAAGCAAGTCTCTAAATCCCAGGCTCTGATGAATCAGCGTACCCACTATGACTATTATCTGGGCACCTGGTAATTGGCCATGGTGTGCGCTTATAAATAGGGGTGGGTTGATTGAAAAGAAGTTGCATTCAATTATAAAGAAAGCTTTCTTGGAAAATGTGTTCAAAGCTTCCATTGCCAACCTGCTGTCGGAAAGAGAAGCCAAAACAAGATGGATGGAATAGGTGTTCCTCCCTTGACGATGGCAAGGAATAGGTTCAGCTTCACATCATGACAGAAAATTACCCAACTATGACGCATTTTTCAAAATGATTGCCATCGTCTTCATGAGCCAAATCAGTGTTTTGACAATATCCAACTGTGCCGAGACAAGGCGGCCAGACACAGGGATGATGGGTTGACTGGTTGGACTGTAATGCAAACACTGCAGTCATAAATCATCAATCACACCTTCCATGGGAGACAATGTGTAGGCAAGGAACACAGGATTCTAACTGATTCAAGACCCGCAAATGCACAAGAAGGGGTGCAACACACCTCGGCCTGAATTTTCCCCTATATCCCTATATCCCTGTGTAAGTCAGGACAGATTCCCTCTCCTTTATCACCCTTGTAGTCACCGCAGGAACTCATTTAGTTATTATTATTATTATTATTATTATTATGTCACAGCAAACGAGATCTATATGCTGGATTTCGTATCACAAAATCACAAGTTGAACACTTCCCAAGTGTCTAGAACTGAGTGATATATTTTCAAATGATGCGTGTAGATCCAAGTAAGGTAGCCTTTTGCAGTTGACAGATCGTGATTTTGTCCATGTTTGTTGTTTCCAAATGCCAGCTAAGATTTTTTGTCACAGTACCCAATGTGTGTGCCGATGACCACTGGGTCCACCTGTACTGGTTTATGCCAGAGCCTTTGCAGTTCGATTTTGAGGTCCTTATAACGGCTGAGTTTTTCCTGTTGTTTTTTCTCAATACAACTGTCACTCGGTATGGCAACATCAATAATCCAAACTTTTTTCTTTTCCACAATTGTGACAATGTTGACTTTTGTGGAGAGGTGGCTGCCAAGGGAGCAGAAATTGACAACATTTTCTAATGTTACACCACTAATCTGTATTTCTGGCATTGCAGAGGGATTGGCTAGTGACTGTTGGAAGAGCACTTTGGTTTTCTCGATGATGAATGAGAGGCCGAGCTTCTCGTATGCTTCTGCAAAGGTGTTTAGAGTGGCTTGTAGGTCTTCTTCTGAATGCGCACAGACAACATTGCCATCAGCATACTGGAGTTCTATAACAGATGTTGTTGTGACTTTGTTTTTGACTTTAAGTCTGCTGAGGTTAAATGGCTTGCCTTCTGTCCAATCGATGATTTCCACTCCAGTGCTTCTGCAGAGGTGCTTAGAGTGGCTTCTAGGTCTTCTTCTGAATGCGCAGAGACTACATTTTCATCAGTATATTGGAGTTCTATAACAGATGTTGTTGTGATGGTTTTGGCTTTCAGTATGCTGAGGTTAAATGGCTTCTGTGGAAGTCATCTGTCTGATAGATGACTTCCACTCTGGAAATTTGATCAGGATGCTTTCCTGATCGGATTGTTGGCATCTCTTCATGGGTGCCTTTTACCTCCTCACCAAAGCAGTCCCTATTCATCTACTCACATTACTGTTTACGAACTGCTAGGTAAGCAGAAGCTAGGGCTGATGGCGGGAGCTCACCCCAACCCGAGGCTTTGAATTTCCAGTCAGCAAGATTTTCTGCAGCTGTTTAACCCGCTGTGCTAACTGGAGCTTCTTTGTCACCTCCTCTTCCATATCCACCATAGGAGTCCAGTTCAACTTGGCATCTCCTCACCCCATATCATGTATTGCAGTCATTGCTGGACAAGTAGTTGTGTGGTAGACTAATAGTTGTGTGGTAGACTTCCCAAAAGTCTCTGGACCTCATTGTATACTCTGCTGTATTTAATGGTTATTGGCAGTAAGAAACCTTCCGTATGGAACCTCCCTCTATTCTTGATTCAACAAGCAATTTTAAAGAAAATCAAAGCTCTCATACAAAACAATTTTCCTCCTTTCTTTTTAGAAATCCGGGAAGCTTTTCGAATACTGGACCGCGATGGCAATGGCTTCATTTCCAAGCAGGAGCTGGGGATGGCAATGCGCTCATTGGGATACATGCCTAGCGAGGTGGAGTTGGCAATCATTATGCAGCGCCTTGACATGGATGGTGAGTCCTCTTGGTTATTTTTATGATCCACATTGTGGGGAATGGCTGCACCTCGTTGCACGTGTCTCAGAAGGACCCAGGATCTAACATCTTTGGGTGGATCTCAAAGTGCATCTACTCTTTGGAATGAATGTAGTTTGAGACTACTTTAACAGCTGTGACTCAATACTGTTGAATCCTGGGATTTGCTTTTGGTGTGGCACCAAAATGGCAAAGAAGTCTAAAGACTTTGTAAAACTATATCTCCCAAGATTCCATAGTAAAGAGCTATGGCACTCGAAATGGTGCAAAACTGCGTTTATTCTACACCACAGCTATACCCTAAGTTAGGCCTCTGCTTTCTGTCTGTTTTTTCTTTCTCATAGCTGTCGTATGCTTCTTCTTTTGGATATAGTCACTAATTTAACCTAAATTGTAGCTATTGATCTGCTCTTTGTCTTTGTTAATTTAAGGACTAACTTATCCTTAAAGGTCTTATAGAATCCACCAGGGAGTCTATTCAGTCCTGGCAATTCCTTTAATATTTTGTATAACATCTTATTATTTTATTTATTTACAGTATTTATATTCCGCCCTTCTCAGCCTGCAGGGGACTCAGGGTGGATCACAATACACATATACATGGCAAACATTCAATGCCGTTGACACACAACATATATAGACAGTAGGCTTGGTTGATCCAAAAAAAGGTTCAAAACTCATTTCGGATGTAGGGGGCGCCGGTGGTTCAATTCGGAAAAGAATTCCGAATTTTTCCAAAAAAAATTCCAAATTCAAAAATATCCGAATTGCTTTGTTAATGGCGGACACAATTGCGTAACAGCCATTCTCCCTGCCCTGGTTCTCTGTTGCCCTGGTCTTCTTCCACCACAACAGCAACAACACACAAGTGGCTGCAAAGCAGGCAGGCAACAGCCCTCTTCCAGCCCTTCTCGGATTGCCCCGCTCTTCTTCCAACCTGCCTTCACAATGTCCCTTCCCTTTCTCTTTCCCCTTCCCTTCCCATGCTCACAATGAGCCTCTGAGCCATGTGCTGCCCTTTATATAGCACGATGGCTGCTGTACTGAAACCCCACCCTTCCCCTCCCAAAACTTCTCCCCTGCTTGCCTCCAAACACTGAGTCACTTCCGAGTCGGAAGAAAAATGGCGAGAGGAGCTTCAGAAGGGCAAAGGGACTTCTGGATTTCTTAAAAACTTGGAAATCACTTCAAAAAGGCAATTTTTCTGACTTTATTCCGAATTGCGAAGATTCCGATGATATCTGACCATGCCTAATAGATAGACACACAGAGGCTATTTAATTTCCCAGTTTCATGAGGGTATGCTTTGAATTCCACCCACTGGGCGAGCTGTCGCTTCACCGTCCACTTGTGACACCGATGGAGTACTTCCTCATTCTTTAGCATGCTGCTGGAGAGTTTTATCGCATTGTAAATTAGTTAAATTAGCCTCCCCGCATAAGCGGTACCTAAATTTCCTACTTGAGAGATGCAACCATCTTTTGGGCTGCAAAGGTCGACAGCAAGCTAGACAAATGGTTGGGAGCTTACTCTGACCTGGGCTGGCTTCAAACTCATGACCTTTCAGTCACAACCCAGTCTTCCATTTCTTTTGCAGCAATAGCAGGACTTAAAATAGCCAAGTGACTATCTGACAATGCTTTCACTTAGCTAGAGTCTTTTTTAAAAAAAATCATTACATTTGATTAAAGAGTCTCCTTCATTTTTATACGAGACAGTATAAAACTTATGAAATGTGTGATTACTATCAGCAGCTGCGTAACGAAACCTCCGTCCTCTCATCTTCATTTTTTCTGCATTTGTACTTTTTCTTTTCCAAAGTGTTGGCAAGTCGTTTTGAATGTCTGTTTCCATGCTCCTAATAGATATGTTTAGTATAAATCAATGCTTTATATATCTGGCTCGTATTGAATGCTTCCCGTTCCATTTTTTTTTTTGGTCTTGTAATAAAATCCAGTCTTTCTGAACATCTGGTTTCCTTATCCCAATTCCAAAAGTTATTAATATCTTGGATTCATAGCTTTCAGGCTTGATCTCTCTCTCTCTATTATTAGAATAGAATTTTCTTTGACTCCCACAAAATAATGTGCATTATTCCTGGTATTTCAGTCGTGAAAAAAAATCTATTTTGCTTGATATAGTGCTGTAGAGTCTCCAGTGCCTATTTACATTCAAGGAGATGTGACATGCATTTAAGGGGCATGATCATGATTTAGAATAGGGCTCTTTATCAGTTGATTTAACACAGTCGTTCCCAACATGTGGCCCGTGAACCACCAGTGGTCCGCCAGAATGAAAAAATGATCTGCGACCTCACGATTACTTCACCATTGCCTCGAAACCACACGGCAATGAGAGTGACTGGTCTTGCAAAACCCTCTTATAGTGCCAAGGCAATGGGTATGTTGGGAGGGGAGAGGCTGACTCCCCAGAAAAGATTACTACTACCATATCAGCTCTAGTTGATTAAATACTAGCTAGGGTCGCCTTAGTTACGCCTCTGCTTTCTGTCATTTTAGACACAATTTCTTCTTTCTTATTGCTATCGTATTGTTTTGTATTTATTATATACTAGAATGGGTCCCCGGTGATGCCCGGGTTATTTGAAAAAGTCATTTTTTAATTGTACAAAATGCATAAAGTTGTGGGTGAACTGCAATTCACACCATGCCAGGTTAACCCTGAACCTTATTTTCCATCTTCATCATTATGATACTTCATCTTGTTGATGGGAAGCTTTCCACTAGAGTGCAAATCATCTATCGGGCAGATGGCAAGCTATTGGTTGCTGAGTTTCTTGCAAGTGATGTATTAGAAAAAGAGCATCTTATGATCATAGAATCAAAGAGTTGGAAGAGACCTCATGGGCCATCCAGTCCAACCCCCTGCCAAGAAGCAGGAATATTGCATTCAAATCACCCCTGACAGATGGCCATCCAGCCTCTGTTTAAAAGCTTCCAAAGAAGGAGCCTCCACCACACTCAGGGGCAGAGAGTTCCACTGCTGAACGGCTCTCACAGTCAGGAAGTTCTTCCTCATGTTCAGATGGAATCTCCTCTCTTGTAGTTTGAAGCCATTGTTCCGCGTCCTAGTCTCCAAGGAAGCAGAAAACAAGCTTGTTCCCTCCTCCCTGTGGCTTCCTCTCACATATTTATACATGGCTATCATATCTCCTCTCAGCCTTCTCTTCTTCAGGCTAAACATGCCCAGCTCCTTAAGCCGCTCTTCATAGGGCTTGTTCTCCAGACCCTTGATCATTTTAGTCGCCCTCCTCTGGACCCATTCCAGATAGTCAACATAGTCTGTGCACATTCAGAAGATCTACAAGCCACTCTAAACATCTTTGCAGAAGCATACAAGAAGCTCGGCCTCTCATTGAACATCGAGGAAACCAAAGTGCTCTTCCAGCAGTCACCAGCCAATCCTTCTCCAATGCCAGAAATGCAGCTTAATGTGTAACATTAAAAAATGTTGACCATTTCCGCTACCTTGGCAGCCACCTCTCCACAAAAGTCAACATTGACACTGAAATACAACACCACCTGAGCTCTGCGAGTGCAGCATTTTTCCAAATGAAGCACAGAGTGTTTGAGGACCAGGACATCCGTAGGGATACCAAGCTGCTTGTTTATAAAGCTATTGTCCTCCCAACCCTGCTATACGCTGCAAAATGTGGACTATCTACAGACATCACATGCAACTCCTAGAACGATTCCATCAACGCTGCCTCTGAAAAATCCTGCAAATCTATTGGGAAGACCGGCAGACAAATGTCAGCGTGCTGGAAGAAGCAAAGACCACCAGCGCTGAAGCGATGGTCCTCCACCATCAACTCGCTGGACCGGCCACGTTGTCCAGATGCCCGACCAGTTGCTCTACTCCGAACTCAAGAATGGAAAATGGAATGTTGGTGGGCAGGAAAAGAGATTTAAAGATGGGCTCAATGCCAACTTTAAAAACTCTGGCATAGACACTGAGAACTGGGAAGCCCTGGCCCTTGATTGCTCCAGCTGGAGGTCAGCTGTGACCAGCAGTGCTGCAGAATTTGAAGAGGCATGAATGGAGGGTGAAAGAGAGAAGCGTGCCAAGAGGAAGGCACATCAAGCCAACCCCGACCGACGGTCACGTCTAGGCTGGACTATTGCAACGCCCTGTATGTTGGCCTTCCTATGTCTACGACCCGAAAGCTCCGTATTGTTCAGAATGCGGCAGCCAGGTTACTCACAAGAACGCCCATGAAATGCCATATAACACCAGTGCTGCAACATTTACATTGGCTTCCAACTAAGTACCGTGGCCTGTATAAGATGCTAGTTCTGACCTTTAAAACTCTTTACGGCCAGGGTCCATCGTACCTTAGGGACCGCCTCTCCTTCTCCCATCATCGGAGGTCGCAACGACCAGCCCAACGTGACTTACTCCATATACCGGGTCCTAGAGAAGTGCACTTGGAAAGGACCAGACGCAGGGCTTTTTCTATTTCTGCCCCTGCCTTGTGGAATTCCTTGCCGCCCTACATGAGAGCCATGCGTGACTTAGGGCCTTTTACTCTCGCACTTAAGACCTGGCTTTTTACTAGAGCATTCGATCTCTGTTAATTTTTAATTTTTGTATGTATGTATTTTATCTTTTATAATTTAGCTGTAAATCGCCTAGAGCATTCTCGGATGGAGGGCGATTAATAAGTTATTAAATGATGATGATGATGATGATGATGATGATGATGATGATGATGATGATGATGATGATGAAACCGATGCCCTCACTGCGGGAGAACATGCAGGTCAAGAATAGGGCTCCACAGTCACCCACGTACCCAGTGCCAGAACACTGAACTTGGAAGACAATCTTACTCGATCAATGAGATATTGCCTAAGTAACTGATTATGGGTCTGGGCAAGTTGACAGTGACATCCTGGATATGTGCTAGGGAGACCTCACTCGTTCTGATTCATCTTGTAAGGCTGGCACATAGGTGCCTCTGTACTCTTGATGAATGACTTCCCAACCACCAGAGCCTTTCTTCCATGTCAAGAAATCTCCATGAGTTACAGGATCCTACTTTGGAGTATCAAGAAGGAGTTGAATGATTTAAATTGGAGACCCAAGGTCTTGAAGAACGTCGGAAAAATGTTTTCACACTCACACGCAGGGATACGACAAAGAGGGGATTTATAACCATTAGATAGACAGAGTCCCTATTACAATCTGCCAAAACATTTTACTATACTTTCTTCATGTGACAAGGATGAATAAATCCCATTTTTCATTCGGTGCAACTTCTTTCTTCTGATTTATAAGTATTTTATATTTCTGCTTAAGATAAGTTTCACGTCTGTCTCTAAGACAGTGTTTATCAACCATCTTAATGCTACGACACCTTAACACAGTTCTTCAATTTGTGGTGACCCCCAACCATAAAAATTATTTTCGTTGCTACTTCATAACTCTAATTTTGCTACTGTTATGAATCGTGATGTAAATATCCAATATGCAGAATGTATTTTCATTCACTGGACCAAATTTGGCACAAATATGCGATACGCCTAAATTTGAATACTGGTTGGGGATTGATTTTGTCATTTGGGAGTTGTAGTGCTGGGAGTTGTAGTTAACCTAAAATTAAAGAGCATTCTGAACTCCACTAATTATAGAATTGGGCCAGACTTCCCAGACAGAACCCCCATGAGCAACAGAAAATACTGGAAGGGTTTGGTGGGCACTTGACCCTGAGAATTGTAGTTGCTGGGATTTATAGTTCACCTACAATCAAAGAGCATTCTGAACTCCACCAATGATGGAATTGAACCAAACTTGGCACACAGAACTCCCGTGATGAACAGAAAATACTGGAAGGGTTTGTTGGGTATTGACCCTGAATTTAGGAGTTGTAGTTACCTACATCCAGAGGGCACTGTGGTTTCAAACAATGATAGATCTGGACCAAACTTGGCACAGATACGCAATATGCCCAAAGGTGAATGTTGGTGGAGTTTGGGGGAAAAAGGCCTTGACATTTGGGAGTTGTCTTTGCTGGGATTTATAGTTGGACCTTGAAGTAACTTGGACCCAGAAGTAACTTGGCAAACAGAACCCCCATGACCAACAAAAATACTGGAGGTCTTCGGAGGGATTTAGAGGAGTTCTCGTTGACCTACATCCAGAACGCACTATGAATCCAAACAATGATGGATCTGGCTCAAGCTTGGCATGCATACCCAATATGCCCACATTTGAATACTGGTAGGTTTTGAGGGGAATTGGCCTGGACATTTTGGACTTGTAGGTACTGGGATTTATAGTTCACCTGAAATCAATGAACACTCTGAACTCCACCAAAGAGGGAATTGGACTAAACTTGGCACACAGAGGCCCCATGACCAGCAAAAAAAGAATAGAGGTCTTTGGAGAAAATTCACCTTGATTTGGGGGAGTTGTAGTTTACCTACATCCAGCAAGCACTGTGAACCCAAACACCTATGGGTTTTGGACCAAGCTTGGCACACAGACCTGATATGCTGAAAATTGATTACTGTAGGGGTTTGATGGGAACTGACCTTCCTTTCTTGGAGTTGTAGTTCATCCACAACCTGTAAAACTGAGAAGGACAGACGGAGAGATCTTCAGCCTTCATTATCAAAGGGATTCCTAAAACCATCAAACCACTCGCGGCAGCCATAAAGCAATTTGGACCAGGTGTAGGGGCCCACGCCAATACACCCGGTCCAATTGCCCAGGGAGAGGTCGAGGATTTCCCTTGTAGAAGGAAGAAACAGTTTATGAAGAAAGTTGCCTGTTGACAAGATTTAAGCAAGCCACCAGTTGATTCAAAGCCTTGAAGTATTTGTTTGATTTATTGAAGATTTAAGTAATAATAAAAACTTTGTTGAAGTTTCTAAGTCTTTAAAAGAACTTGTGTGGGGAAATCTGAAAGGCCTCTCAGCCAAGGCACCCCCGGCGTCCCGTTAGGCATTCAGAAAACACGTCCTGTCTACAGACTCTTTCACAGGCCCAGCGTGTGACAGCACAATCAGTATTATATGTTACTATATTGTACTATACCATTATATTGTAATATTATTAGTAATATTACATGGAATGTGTAATATTACTAATAATATTACAATATAATAAAATTGCAGTCAAGTCAGGTTTTGCTCCCAAGGGTGATGATGATAATGATATTATAAGGTGAGCTGACTAAGTATATTTGAATTTCAGAAATGGATATATTGCAATAATACGCATTGGTCCCAAAATCCTTGGCCATTGGCCAAACTGCCTAAGGCATCTGGCTGCTGAAATCCAAAACACCTGGAGGCAGAGAGTTTGCCTCCAGGTCTTTTTTTTATAGCATCTTAAATAATAGCTTTAATAGCTTTACCATCAAGCAAATCTTAATTATCTGATACAGGCAATAAAATCCACTATGGAGGTCCAGCCCATTTTCAAAGACAGACAAACAACTTAAGGATTAATTATGTTTTCACAACCAATGATCCTGTAAGCCGTTTGCCTTACGTCCACTTCAATCTCATATCATAGTCTGACGCCTCTTAAACACATAAACAGTAATAGCTAATTAGCTATACATGAACGCTATAGGCAATTTGCGGTAAGGCAGATGTTACGGGGCAAGCTGTTCCTGAACTTTCAGAAGTTTCACAAATTAGGAGTGATATATAATCCATTGTTTGAAACTGGATGTTCTGACAAAATCAAGCAGACCTTCATAAACATACATTATGCCCCCCAATTCCATAGGAAATATGTAATCAAATTTACTATGGGAATAGCGAAGGCAACTTGAGGTCTCCTGGACCTTACAGTGGCCTTCGATACCAATACACACATACAGTACAGTATCGAAGGCCACTGTAAGTTCCAGGAGACCTCAAGTTGCCTTCACTATTCCCACTTCACTACATATCCTTCTCGGACACCTCACGGGAATGGGTCTCGGAGGTACTGTTTCGCAACAGGGTGTCAAAACGTTCACCAAAACCATCAGAAAACACAATATTTTCTGTTGGTCATGGGGGTCCTGTATGGGAAGTTTGGCCTAATTCTATCATTGATGGGGTTCAGAATGCTCTTTGATTGTAAGTGAACTATAAATCCCAGCAACTACAACTCCCAAATGTCAAGGTGCATTTTCCCCAAACTCCACCAGTGTTCACGTTTGGGCATATTGAGTATTCGTGCCAAGTTTGGTCCAGATCAATCATTGTTTGAGACCACAGTGCTCTCTGGATGTAAGTGAACTACAACTCCAAAACTCAAGGTCAATGCCCACCAAACCCTTCCAGTATTTTCTGTTGGTCATAGGGGTTCTGTATGGGAAGTTTGGCCTAATTCTATCGTTGATGGGGTTCAGAATGCTCTTTAATTGTAAGTGAACTATAAATCCCAGCAACTGCAATTCCCAAATGTCAAGGTCTATTTTCCCCAAACTCCACCAGCGTTCACGTTTGGGCATATTGAGTATTTGTGCCAAGTTTGGTCCAGATCCATCATTGTTTGAGTCCACAGTGCTCTCTGGATGTAGGTGAACTACAACTCCAAAACTCAAGGTCAATGCCCACCAAACCCTTTAGTGTTTTCTGTTGACCATGTGAGTTCAATGGGCCAAGTTTGGTTCAATTCCATTGTTGGTGGAGTTCAGAATGTTCTTTAATTGTAGGTGAACTATAAATCCCAGCAACTACAACTCCCAAATTACAAAACCAATCCCCCCCCCAACCCCACCAGTATTCAAATTTGTGCCTATCAGGTATTTATTCCAAACAGTAAAGCAATGCAGTACAAGAAGCAAATATGGAATATGTGCAATCGACATTTGGAATGGCCCGGTCTACGAATCGGATCATGTAATTTTAATGCTTTTATTCGGTGTTTTAATTCTTGTATTTCATATCTTCAATGTCATTTTATCTTCTCATATGGTGAATTGTCCTATTGGTTTTATGCCTAGTTATATGTTGTTGATTTGAGTTTTGGTTTATGTGTTGTAAGGCATTGAATTTTGCCATTATTTTTTTGTAAACTGCTTTGAGCCCCCCCCCCCCCCCCCGGGTGAGAAAAGCAGTATATAAATACTGCAAATAAATAAATAAATGGGGCTGGTGGGCACCAGCGTATGATGCCTTCTCTGACCAGTCTCAAACTGGTATTAAAGGAACTGGTTTCTCTGTTCATATGATTACATTGAAAATAGTTCAGGGCCAGATGGTGATTACACAAACCACAGAGCATTCATATGCAAAGAGTGCTTTTTTGTGCACTTTTGTGGGCGTTTGCTGTCTAGCCACCACAGTTTGAAACCCACGGAGATGACCTTTGTCTTTCTTTCCAGGAGACGGTCAAGTTGACTTTGATGAATTCATGACGATCCTTGGACCAAAACTGGTGTCATCAGAAGGACGGGATGGCTTCTTGGGAAACACAATTGACAGTATCTTCTGGCAGGTTGGTAGCAAGGTGTTTCTGGTTGTTATTATTATTATTTGAAACACAACAGGATGACTCCACAGCAAACAAGATAACACTGCCGGTTGTTGTATTGTATCACACGTCGGACACTTCCCAAGTGTCTAGGACTGTGTGATTTATCGGCGAATAATGCCTGCAAATCCCAGTAAGGTGGCCTTTTGCAGCTGGCGGGTGGTATTTTGTTAGTGCCAATTGTGTTCAAGTGCAGGCCAAGGTCTTTAGCCCGATCACCACTGGGACTACCTTTACTGGCTTGTGCCAGAGTCTTTTGTACGCTTGTCTTCCCAAGTGATTTGCAGGATTTTTCGGAGGCAACACTGATGGAATCATTCCAGGAATTGCATGTGACCTCTGTAGATAGTCCACGTCTCGCAGGCGTATAGCAGGGTTGGGAGTACAATAGCTTTATAAACAAGCAGCTTGGTCTCCCTACAGATGTCCTGGTTGTCAAACACTCTCTGCTTCATTCGGAAAAATGCTGCACTCGCAGAGCTCAAGCGGTGTTGTATTTTAGTGCCAATGTTGACTTTTGTGGAGAGGTGGCTGCCAAGGTAGCGGAAATGGTCAATATTTTCAAATGTTTCACCATTAAGCTGTATTTCTGGCATTGGAGGGGGATTGGCTGGTGACTGCTGGAAGAGCACTTTGGTTTTCTTGATGTTCAATGACAGGCCGAGCTTCTTGTACGCTTCGGCTTGTGGGTCTTCTTCTGAATGTGCACAGTCGATGTTGTCCTCAGCTTATTGGAGTTCTAATACAGATGTTGTTGTAACCTTCGTTACAACAATATACCCAAATACCCAAAGGCTCTCAACCAATTTCCTATGTTCTGAGTTATGGAATCAAACGGTTTTGAGAGTGCACCATTTTTTTCTCCCTCCCCACAACTGAGCTGAGATTGGGGTGGAAAGTCATAGTGAGGAGGGAGCAAGCTTGTTTTCTGCTGCTCTGGAGACTAGGATGCAAAACAATGGTGTCAAACTACAGGAAAGGAGATTCCACCACCACCATCATCATCATCATTTAATAACTTATTAATTGCCCTCCATCCGAGAATGCTCTAGGCGATTTACAGCTAAATTATAAAAGATAAAATACATAAATACAAAAATTAAAAATTAACAGAGATCGAATGCTCTAGTAAAAAGCCAGGTCTTAAGTGCGAGAGTAAAAGGCCCTAAGTCACGCATGGCTCTCATGTAGGGCGGCAAGGAATTCCACAAGGCAGGGGCAGAAATAGAAAAAGCCCTGCGTCTGGTCCTTTCCAAGTGCACTTCTCTAGGACCCGGTATATAGAGTAAGTCGCGTTGGGCTGGTCGTTGCGACCTCCGACGATGGGAGAAGGAGAGGCGGTCCCTAAGGTACGATGGACCCTGGCCGTAAAGAATTTTAAAGGTCAGAACTAGCATCTTATACAGGCCACGGTACTCAGTTGGAAGCCAATGTAAATGTTGCAGCACTGGTGCAGCACCAGAACATTAGGAAGAACTTCCTAAGAGTGAGAACGTTTCAGCAGTGGAACTCTCTGCCCTGAAGTGTGGTGGAGGCTCCTTCTTTGGAGACTTTTAACCAGAGACTGGTTGGCCATCTGTTGGGGTGCTTTGAATGCGATTTTCCTGTTTCTTGGCAGAATGGGGTTGGACAGGATGACCCACGAGGTCTCTTCCAACTCTAGGATTCTATGACTGGATGGTTTTTGTGAGCTCTTCCCAATGTGGGTATTTTAATACACATATGGGAAATTCACTGTGAAATTGGATGTCCTTTAAAAAAAGAATTAGATAATTTGGAGAGACACCAGTGGTTATTAGGAAGGCTCTTACCATGCTGAAAATCATCCTATTATTTAGGTAGAATCTCATTTCTTGGAGCTTGAATCTGTTGCTATGTGTCCTAGTCTCCAGAGCAGCAGAAAACAAGCTTGCTCCCTACTCAGTATGACATCTTTTCAAATATTTAAACATAGCTATCACGTCCCCTCTTAACCTTCTCTTCTCCAAGCCAAACGCACCCAGCTCCTTAAGCTGCTTCTCATAGGCTTCCAGTCCTTTTGCAATATCTTCTTTGGACACGTTCCAGCTAGGCTACCTCGATCCTACAACACTCCTTATGCAGCCAAAATACATGTCCGCCTCAAGGAAGCCTGAGGTTCAGGGATATTTCTTAATTTTTAATGGTGATATAGACCCATAGGACGTGAAAATGTGGAATTGAATGAAACATACCGGATGAGAACATGACTGGTTAAGCTGGCACACCTCACCGGGCTGCGCGACAATGCAATGTTACAAAACACAGCATCCTTGGGCATTGGTTTGCACGCGCCGCCTATCGCATCTCCATTCCAAATATTTGTCATTCCCCACCAATCACATTTTCTTATGGGATCATCCTTCCCGGGGTCTGCCGTGCATTTCAGCGTGCCACATCTCTCGCCCTGAAAGGAGCTTTCATTTGCAACAGCATGCGCCATTTTCCTCGAGAAATCTCTGCTTTGGCAGCCTTCCCGTCTTTGCAGCAACCGCCTGCATAGCAATGAGATGGTTACCATGGAAATGTGGGCATTGCTTGCCGCTGTTGTGTAGTGCTTTGATTTTTACGGACAGCTTTCCAGCTCTCTTGGAAGGAGCACGTTTCTCAGAGATGGAAGTCCCATCAGTCATTCGTGCAACACTCGTACATGGATTATTTCGTAGGCTTAAGCTCAAGGAGTTCATTAACGTCTCTCCAAGACTAAAGGAGAAAGAGAAAACACAATATCGGAATGATGGATTAAGTGCCCATCAAATCATACAGACCGTAGATGACATCACGTCCATCTCCGTATTTAAGGCAGGAGCTGCAATGCAGACGAATGTCCTATTGGATCCCCGATAGATGCCCAGCCTCTTTATTTAAATACATCCAGCAGAAGGAAACCAACACTGCTCCACTGCCAATCCACTACTGTGTTTTTATTTGAGATGTTTTGAAATAGGGCAGGCTCTGCAAAAAAATAATAATAAAGGGTAAATGGCAAACAAGAGTAGAAAATGAGAAACTGAAGCTGGGCGGCATCTATTTAATGCTACAATTAAGATCTGTAACTAGTTATGCATATTATCATGACAAGACGAAGACGACGTCACCAGCCAATCCCACTCCAATGCCAGAAATACAACTTAATGGTGTAACATTAAAAAATGTTGACCATTTCCGCTCCTTTGGCAGCCACCTCTCCACAAAAGTCAACACTGACACTGAAATACAACACCGCCTGAGCTCTGCGAGTGCAGCATTTTTCCAAATGGAGCAGAGAGTATCCGTAGGGATACCAAGGTGCTTATTTATAAAGCTATTGTCCTCCCAACCCTGCTATACGCCTCCATCTACGAACCCACACGATCTCTTCGATCTTCCATAGAGGCTCTTCTCTTGCTCCCGCCGCATCGCAAGTGCAACTTGTAGGGATGAGAGAGATGACCTTCTCTGTGTTGGCCCCCCGGCTCTGGAACTCTCTCCCCAGAGATATTAGGCAAGCCCCCATGTTGACCATCTTCAGGAAGAATTTGAAAACCTGGCTATTCCAATGTGCCTTCAGTGATTGAATGTAAGATACTCCCTGACCAAACTTAGCGCAAAATGTCCTTAGAAGCACTTTATTTTATGGTTCGTGCAATTAAATCCTCCTCATTCCCGGATCCTCCTCCCTATAACTTATTTTGTCCTATCTCCCAGTGTTTTAAAATTTTTATCCTTCAATTTCGCCTTGCCCAGTGAAGTCTTCTGTGTTTTCAATGTCTGATTTTATATTGCTGTGTGATTTATTATGTTGGTTTGCATTTTATGTAATTTTTTGTTGCTACTATATTTTTGCGTTATATTGTGTTTACTGTATTGATGGCCGTGGCCTCATGTAAGCCGCACCGAGTCCCCCTGGGGGAGATGGAGCGGGCTATAAATAAATTATTATTATTATTATTATTATTATTATTATTATTATTATTATTATTAGACGTGGACTATTTGCAGATGTCACATGCAACTCCTAGAATGACTCCATAAACTTTGCCTCCGAAAAAGCCTGAAAATCTCTTGGAAAGACAAGCAGACAAATATCAGCGTGCTAGAAGAAGCAAAGACCACCAGCATTGAAGTGATGGTCCTCCGCCATCAACTCCGCTGGACCAGCCATGTTGTCTGGATGCCTGACCCACCGTCTCCCAAAGCAGTTGCTCTACTCTGAACTCAAGAACGGAAAACGGAATGTTGGTGGGCAGGAAAAGAGATTGAAAGATGGGCTCAAAGCATAGACACTGAGAACTGGGAAGCCCTGGCCCTTGAGCGCTCCAGGTGGAGGTCAGCTGTGACCATCAGCGCTGTAGAATTTGAAGAGGCATGAATGGAGGGCAAAAGAGAGAAACGTGCCAAGAGGAAGGCACGTCAAGCCAACCCGATCGGAACCACCTTCCACCTGGAACCAATGCCCTCATTGCGGGAGAAGATGCAGATCAAGAATAGGGCTCCACAGTCACCTACAGACCCACCACCAGTACACCCATCTTGGAAGACAATCCTACTCGGACAACGAGGGATCACCTAAGTAAGTAAGTAAGTATTATCATGACAATACATGTGTAATACATAAAGCAGGCTACAATATGGTTTGAGTGCCATTCCATGAAATCGACTGAATCCACATGACATTATAAAGCATATTGCGATAACAAAACATGTATAATCTATAAAGCATTATAATGTCAGTAAATCGCAGTGCTCTCTGGACCATCCTCCAAAAAATTGGGTGCCCTGACAAATTTGTGAACATCTTCCATGATGACATGATGGCAACAGTCTTGGACAGCAATGGCTCCCAAAGTGACCCATTTAAGGTGAAATCGGGTGTCAAACAGGGATGTGTTATTGCCCCAACCTTATTTTCCATCTTCATCACTATGATCCTTCATCTTGTTGATGGAAAGCTTCCCACCAGAATGGTAATCAACTATCGGACAGATGGCAAGCTATGTAATTTCAGCAGACTGAAAGCCAAAACCAACGTCACAACAACATCTGTAATAGATCTCCAAAATGCTGATGATAATGTAGTCTGTGCACATTCAGAAGAAGACTTACAAGTCACTCTAAACACCTTTGCAGAAGCACTGGAGTGGAAATCATTGATCAGACAGATGGCAAGCTATTTAGCCTCAGCAGACTGAAAGCCAAAAACAAGGTCACAACAACATATGTTACAGAACTACAGTATGCTGATGATAACGTATCCTGTGTGCATTCAGAAGAAGATCTACAAGTCTCTCTAAACACCTTTGCAGAATCATCGATCGGACAGATGGCAAGCTATTTAACCTCAGCAGACTGAAAACCAAAAACAAGGTCACAGCAACATCTCCAGTATGCTGATGATAACATATTCTGTGCACATTCAGAAGAAGACCTAAACACCTTTGCAGAGGAATATGAGAAGCTCGGCCTCTCATTGAACGTTGAGAAAACCAAAGTGCTCTTCCAGCAGTCACCAGCCAATCCCTCTGCAATGTCAGAAATACAGCTTAATGGTTTAACATTACAAAATTAGAAAAGTCATCAAAAGATTCAATTTCTTAATGTTTTCAGCACACCATGCAGGTGCTTCAGAATACATGTTGTAAGTGTGAAACATTCAAAAAAAATATGAGTTATAATGACTTTTGATTTTTTTTACACACCTCTACTATCTATGTATGTATCTCACACATCTTTGTGGTGCACACTGGATATTTTGATGCAATTCTGAAGCATACAAAATGTAATGTTAATGGGGTTGTTTTACAAAAAAAAATCATATTGATAGATAAATTGGGCTACTGTTGGATAAGGATTGGGAAGAATGAAAATGTACAACCAATAATAGGATGCTGTGTGGGGTTAAGGAACGCTTACATCAGTCTTGGAGAAAGCTAAGCACAAGCAATCTGTATAGGGAGAGTGACAAAAAAAATTGCAATACGCAGGCCAAGTCTTGCCTATCCATGATGCATGCCTGACAAGCTGCCTTGCTGACTCATAAACCAGGTAATTTGCAGCTTTGTTTCTGTCAGTGCCAGGGGAATAAAGGTCAAAGACGTTAGCATGAATACAACATCGTACAAACCAAATTTTAAAACCTGTGTTTGGCTACCTCTTGTGGGTATTGGAAGAACAGCCGGCCGATTCTTTTCCGAGTTCTTCAAAGCGTAAAATATTTCAAAAGGGCAAAACTGTTTTGGATTGTGCAGAGTAGGTGTGCGGTTCAAGAAAGGTGAATTTCTCATTCCACCTTAATTGTCTTTTCTAATGGGTCATCCCTTCTCATGATATGTCCAAAAATATGACGATTTAATTGTAGTCATTTTGGCTTCTTGGAGCTAAACCTTTCATTGTTTTGGCGACCCACTTTGGGCCCTTCCACACAGCCCTATATCCCAGAACATCAAGGCAGAAAATCCCACATTATCTGAGTGTGGATTTGGATAACCCAGTTCAAATCAGATATTGTGGGATTTTCTGCCTTGATATTCTAGGATATAGGGCTGTGTGGAAGGCCCCTACTCTAAAATAAGCAGAGCACCCACAAATCAAACAGGATACTTAAAGTTGAGCATCAGCTTATTAGCAAGCAGAGCGTGAAGTGCAGCGTGATGTGACTTAATTAAGAGCTTAGGCAGGCAAAGATGCAGAGTCCTGTCTTTAAAAGCCACAAAAGGTTTATTTACAACTAGTCGTCCCCTGCTAGGCGTTGCTGTGGCCCAGTCTAATGATCTGGAAAATAAAGTAATGAGAAAGTGTTGGTTTCTAATATATGTAATTTCTTTATGCTTGTGGGTAAACAGTATTTCTTGTTGTTTCTTTGTCAGTGTTGATGTGGAGATTGTCTGGTTTGCCTACTCTGGAATATGCAACATACAATTGTCCTTCTTTAGGGGTCCTTTTCAAATCTATGATACCATCTATGTTTGTATGTGTGAATCATATATATCTATCTATAGTTATGGCTGGATGGCTCTTTGTTGGGAGGGCTTTGATTACGTTTTCTTGCCCTGGTGAAGGGAGTTAGACCAGATGGCCTTAAGTATTTTCTGTTGGTCATGGGGATTCTGTGTGGGAAGTTTGCCCCAATTCTGCCATTGGTGGGGTTCAGAATGCTCTTTGATTGTAGGTGAACTATAAATATCAGTAACCACAACTCCCAAATATCAAGGTCTATTTCCCCCAAACTCCATCTGGGTTCATATTTGGGCATATGGAATATTGGTGCCAAGTTTGGTCCAGATCCATCATTGTTTCAGTCCATAGTGTTCTACCTGGATGTAGGTGAACTGCAACTCCCAAAGGTCAATGCCCACTAAAACCTTATAGTGTTTTCTGTTGGTCATGGGAGTCCTGTATGCCATATTTGGTTCGATTCCATCATTGGTGGAATTCAGGATGCTCTTTGATTGTAGGTGAACCATAAATCCCAGAAACTACAATTCCGAAATGACAAAATCATTTTTTTGAGTGATGGTCACTCTTTGGGTTAGTAGGTGTCTTGTAGCCAAATTTGGCGGCAATTCGTCCAGCAGATTTTGAGTTAAGATGTCACTCAAAACGCAGAGTATATATATATATATATATATATATATATATATATATATATATATAAAAAAAATAAAGAACCAACTACATTTCTTAATAGTAAAAGAAATGGGTCTGAGCTACTCTAACACCCATCTCTTCTAAGGTTTCGAAGAGAAGGGAAAAGTACCAATCACATATAGAGCATCCCCACTCTTGGTTTAAATTTCCCTTTGTTCCTTGTATCTTGTGAAAGAGGGCTCTTTCCTTTTTTTGTTGTTAACTTGTGTTTCCCTGAATTGTTGTCCTTCTCCCAACACTCAGTTCCAGCAGTTGTATTCAGAGTTTGACTCTATTACCTTATTTATTATAAAACATGCAATCTATAGAATCACTGCATCCTAAATCAATTCTTTAATGACTTTTAGTCCCCTTTGCAGGCACTGTTCTTCAGGGAAGATTATTATAGTAGAAAATCCTCTGGAAATGCTTTTGTACCCCACACTTTTGAGTTATTTCTTTTATTTCGGATGCAAGCACTGGATGGCAGATTCTAACCAAGCTCTTCTTGATTTCCCCCAGTTTGACATGCAACGGATAACACTGGAGGAACTGAAACATATTCTCTACCATGCATTTCGGGATCATTTGACAATGAAAGACATTGAGAACATTATCATCAATGAGGAAGAGAGTTTAAATGAGAACTCTGGAAACTGTCAGACTGAATTCGAAGGTGGGTTCTGTTTTATTCACATAATTAATTACGACATTTATATGCCACCCATCTCACCCCAAAGGGGACTCAGAGTGGCTTACAAGATATATATATACATACATGGTGACATATGCAGGAGACAAGATGGAACTATCCCCTGGCCCCCTTTCTCTTCACTCTGCCCCAGAGCAGTAGTTGGTGCTGGGGGGAGGGGTCCTCAATTGATGACGTACACAGGTGGCAAGATGTAACTGTCCCTGGCACCCATTCTGGCCCAGAGCAGCAGTTGGTGCTGGGGGGGGGGGGGGCCCAACGATGACATATGCAGGAGACAAGATGGAACTGTCCCCTGGCCCCTCTCTCTTCACTCTGGCCCAGAGCAGCAGTTGGTGCTGGGGGGAGAGGTCCCCAACTGATGACATATGCAGGAGACAAGATGGAACTGTCCCCTGGCCCCCTCTCTCTTCACTCTGGCCCAGAACGGCAGTTTGGTGCTGGGGGGAGGGGTCCCCAACTGATGACACATGCAGGAGACAAGATGGAACTGTCCCCTGGCCCCCTCTCTCTTCACTCTGGCCCAAAGGGGCGGTTTGTGCTGGGGGGAGGGGTCCCCAACTGATGACACATGCAGGAGACAAGATGGAACTGTCTCCTGGCCCCCTCTCTTTTCACTCTGGCCCAGAGCGGCACAGTTGTTGCTGGGGGGAGGGGTCCCCAACTGATGACATATGCAGGAGACAAGATGGAACTGTCTCCTACTCCCCTCTCTCTTCACTCTGGCCCAGAGTGGCGGTTGACATTATTCGCATACTAGCTTGGGTACCCAGCATTGCCTGGGTTATTTGAAAAAGTATTTTAATTGTACAAAATGCATAAGGTGAACTACAACTTACATTATGCCAGGTTAACCCCCTGAAACTCCCTCAGTACATATAGTTTGTTATGTTGGGCAAATTTGCTCTAGATGCATCACTGGTGGGGTTCAGTGTGCTCTCTGGCTCTCTACAACTCCCAATATGGTAAGTCGGTCCCCTCAAACCCCTCCAATAGGTTGGGTTAGTCATGTGGGTTCTGTGTGCCAAGTTTGGTCCAGGTCCATCATTGGTGGAGGTCATAATTTCTCTGGTTGTGGGTGAACTACAATTCCCAGAAAGGAAGGTCATTTTTTCTGATTCTAGTACTTCCCGACTTCCCGGGTGTTCTCTTTGCAAACTGATGTTGTGCTTGTTCCTTTTAAATACAAACGAGGAAGGCTGGTGGGCCAACTAATGCTTTTCACTCTCTCTTTTCCTCCTCAGTGCATTCTCAGAAACAGAACCGCCAGACCTGCGTACGGAAAAGCTTAATATGTGCTTTTGCTATGGCCTTTATTATCAGTGTCATGTTGATCGCAGCCAACCAGATCCTCCGAAGTGGCATGGAGTAGCCACAACACTGTGAAACAAAACCAACGCATGCGCATGCTGCCTGACGAACTTTCTCCCCAATTCAACTTCAAAGCAAACGGGCAAAGGAGAACGCAGGAGAGGAAGAGGACGAGAGGGATGAAGAAGCAAAGCGCAACGAACCAGAGGCCAGCAGCGTCTGGGTTGAACATCCAATATATCCTTTTGGCAGGGACATAAAAGGGCTGTCAATGCTTTAATGGCTTTCGTTTCCTAATGCAATAAAACAGGAGGAGCCCTGATATATATATATATTTTTGGGTGGGGGAGTAGGGGTGGCTAGCGTTTTTTTCAGAGCGAGGAGTCACTGTCATACCAGCTATAGATGTTCCATTCATCAAGACTGGATGACACGAAATCAGGTGTGTTTGTGGGCCTGGCTTCCTTTTGGGCCGGGAAGTTCCGACGAAGACCTTTCCAATTGTCTGACTTTCCAAGGCAATTGCTATATATATATATAACCACAACTACGTTCGATTCATATTTTTTTTTCAATTTCCTGTGACTCTGGGGTCCCCTCTAGTAGCAGGTTCTTCAGGGATGAATAATGCTCAAGAGGACCCTTGTTCATTTGTTAAGTGTGATCCCACGCATTTAGACGCGTCAATGCAGTTCACTCGTGCACTATAGCTTTTCCACCAGGAAGAGAGAGACAGAGAGAGAACGAAAGAAGAAAAATAAAATAATCATGCTGTGCTTCATATAGTACGCATACAAAGTCTTCCTTATATATTTTGAAAGAGTACTTACAAAGGAATACTATGTGTACCTTGACCCAATGTATAAACACAGCTTTATGTAATGTTTATTCTCCCAAATCAATGTCTCGGCCTAATTTATATTTGCACCGACCCTAATATGAGGGTTATCCAGAAAGTTAGGTTACAAGCTAGGTGGGCAGATGAGCTGGGGCTAACAGCGGGTGCTCACCCTGACCCGGACTCGAACTGCTGACCTTCCAATCTGCAGGATTTTTCTGTTTAGTTTGCTGTGCTAAGCGGTTTAGCCTGCTGTATTATGTATTCATTTTGGGTCGATTTTTTAATTGAAACTTTGGCAGTATTTTACATTAAATAATGAAGGGTTTGTGTGCCATGTTTGGTCCAGATCCACCAAGCAATGTTGAAGCCTTTGAGGGACGTACATACATACATACTTTCGCAGATACGAGGGTTATCCAGAAAGTAAGGTTACAAGATTTTTTAAAAAATACAAAGAATGAATATATTTTAATAAAACTTACATGGATTGTAGCATAGGTATTACATTATTTTCCCACATAATCACCATTCAGTTCAATACATTTTGTCCTCCGTGGGATCAGTTTATGATGCCTGTGTCATAGATTTTTTTTCTCTCCACCTTTTTTAGCCAGTTTGTCACTTTGACTTTCACCTCGTCATCATCAGAAAAGTGTTTTCCACCCAGATGTTCCTTCAATTTAGTGAACAGATGATAGTCACTGGGTGCAAGATCAGGGCTGTGAGAGGGAGGGCTTAAAAGATCCCAACAGATGAAGTCAACAACTCTTGTGTTGCCTGAGCGATGTGCAGACGTGCATTGTCATGGAGACAGACTCTCGCCATCAGCATCCCACGACATTTGTTTTGGATGACTCTGCGAAGTTTCTTCATGGCCTCACAATATATCCTGTGACCATTTTGCCACATGCTGTCTTGACATTACATCCTCCCCATAAACTGAAACGATTTGGCCATGAATCGTAGTGGTTTTCATGCCCATTTAGGTAGTGTATGACAGCACAAACTTTGCACTTGGAGGGAAACGGAATGAGGATGCTCATCTCTAACCTTCTCCACAATGCCAGTTGATGAGCTACTGACGACTGGCACTGCTCGTTCACTTCCATTGGCTTCCCACTATACAGCATTGAAACCAACTTCCCCCATGAAAATTCCCTGTGAGAGCTACGTGCCTTGTAACCTTACTTTCTGGATAACTCTCGTAATAACCCAGAATAACCCAACATAAAAGAAGTTAAATATAACAGCTATAACTTAAATAAAAATGCAGTCAATCAAAACTTGTAACTAATACAACAAGGAGAAGGTGAAGGGACAATGAGTACCATCCCATGTTCCTGGACCATTCAAGACCTGTAAACAGTTGCATGTCGGTTCTGCCTCGGAACCGGCCCTACTGCTTACATAAGCCCAAAGTCTGTGCAGAATTCACAGCAACTCACAACTTTAGTTTAAAACGATTCAAGACGACCTTAACGCAACTTTGGGACACATTCACCTGGATCAGCTCCATGTGGCATTTGGCCACCATGGATCTGATTCAGCTGCCCTTCAGGATAAATTATCTATGATGACGTACAGCAGTGTTTCTCAACCTGGGGTCAGGACACCTTGGGGAAGTCATGAGGGAGTGTTAGAGGGGTTGCCAAAGACTATCAGAAAACATATATTGGCAGAGGAGGCTGTCCTTCCCTTCCTTTTTTGAAACAGATGGCGAATCCTTCCACCAAAAGTCCTCCTCTGCTGTGATTGGTTGGCATCTCAGCCAAGGGTAGGGCTGTTTCTGAGCCTCCAAGCAGAGAGAGCAGGCATTCTCAGCACATGGTAGCATGGTGTGCATATGTGAGCAACGGAGAGCATGTGAGGTTGGAGGGAGGCTCATATCAGTGAGTCACTACAAAGCATGGGGGTTCTGTGTGGGAAGTTTGGCCCAATTCTATCATTGGTAGGGTTCAGAATGCTCCTTGATTGTAGGTGAACTCTAAATCCCAGCAACTACAACTCCCAAATGTCAAGGTCTATTTTCACCAATCACCAACAGTATTCAAATATGGGCATATTGAGTATTCATGCCAAATTTGGTCCATATTTATGTGTTTGAGTCCACAGTGCTCTCTGGATGTAGATGAACTACCACTCCAAAACTCAAGGTCAATGTCCAACAAACCCTTCCAGTATTTTCTGTTGGTCACGGGAGTCCTGTGTGCCAAGTTTTTGTTTAATTCCATTGTTGGTGGAGCTCAGAATGCTCTTTGATTGTAGGTGAACTATAAATCCCAACAACTACAACTACCAAATGACAAAATCAATCCTCCCCAACCCCGCCAGTATTCAAATTTGGACATATCAGGTATGTGTGCCAAATTTGACTACTGGTCCAGTGAATGAAAATACATCCTGTATATCAGATATTTACATTATGATTCATAACAGTAGCAAAATTAGAGTTATGAAGTAACAACGAAAATAATGTTATGATTGGGAGTCACCGCGACATGAGGAACCGTATTAAGGAAGGTTGAGAAACACTGACGTACACCAAGTCTTAGGAGCTTAGGACCAATCCTTCATGAGTGAGGAAATTCAATGAATGATTTTGGGCCAACCACTTTAAGTTTCTTAAAGTTGTTGTATGGATAACATGGGGAGAAGAGCCTTTTGCTCAGTGAAGGAAAGAGTGGGTTAAGATCAACCAGTAAATAATCCCAGTGGAATGAAAACCATTCCTGACTGTGAGAGCTGTTCAGCAGTGGAACTCTCTGCCCCGGAGTTTGGTGGAAGCTTTTAAACAGAGGCTGGATGGCCATCTGTCGGGGGTGCTTTGAATGCAATTTTCCTGCTTCTTGGTGGGGGGTTGGACTGGATGGCCCATGAAGTCTCTTCCAACTATGATTATGTGTACAAAGAAATCAAAATATCAAACAACAAGCCATCCATGTTATTTAGCTGTTGATTTTCACCAGCTTTTGACGATAGCTTTACCCACTTTCCTGGGAGTGAGTTGTGCTAAATTCAGCAAAACTTTGAAAACATAATTGGCAACACCTAACTTTACAAAAGGATGTCCGCAATAGTGGAAGCAAAAGGAGCAGCAGATAAAAGCACAGTTCATAGTTTTCTAAATAGACTAAAACTTTGAGGAAATGTTTTTAAACAGGGTTTTTTGGTGGTTGTGTAAACAAAAACAAAAAAAATCAAGTCAGTTCCTGGGGAAGTTATTCCATTTGTGTAAAAATTCAAAGAATGCTCTATATATGTAACACTATGTTATCTCATCAAACAATTAAGCCTTACCTCACCGGTTGAAGGAATGCAATGATTCCCATTATTTCTGAGCTTTGTCATTTTCAGTGTTGTGATGCAGTTCTTTAGGAAATATGGAGACAAATGAACCAACTGTATTGTCGAAGGCTTTTATGGTTGGAATCACTGGGTTGTTGTGAGTTTTCTGGGCTTCATGGCCAAGTTCCAGAAGCATTCTCTCCTGGCGTTTCACCCACATCTATGGCAGGCATCCTCGGAGGTTGTGAGGTTTTCCAACAACTAGGAAAAAGCGGTTTATATATTGGTGGAATGTCCAGGGTGGGAGAAAAAAAAACTACACAGAGAAGCCATTGAAATCCACAAGCATGTGGACAATTTCAACAGAAAGGAGGAAACCATGAAAATGAACACAATATAACTTACAGTATTTTTTTAAACTCTAAAATCAGGACAATAAACAATGAGGAACACTCAACAAAAAACAGGGGAATTCCAGACAAGAAACAATTGGGTCCTGCTAATCACCTCCCAGCAAAGGATTCCCCCTGGCAGTAAGAAGCCAGACCTTGAAACTGCTAGGCCATTAAATGCTAATCAAGGTGGTCAATGGCAACACTCAACATTCAAACAAGAGTTCTTTCTCCCAATCTGTACATTATTCCACAAATATATAAACCCCATTTTCTCCCCCAGGCAGTAAGAAGCCACACCTTGAATCTGCTAGGTCATTAAATGCTAATCAAGGTGGCCAATTGCAACATTCACACCTACCTCAAACAGACAAGAGTTCTTTCTCCCACTCTGGACATTATTCCACAGATATATATAAACTCCCTTTTCCTAGTTTCTAACAGACCTCACAACCTCGGAGGATGCCTGCCATAGATGTGAGTGAAACGTCAGGAGAGAATGCTTCTTGAACATGGCTATACAGCTTGGAAAACTCACAACAACCCAGTGAACCAACTTCTTTATCCACAAAGGGGATCAATTTCTTGAGGCCAACTTTGCATGAACTAGACAAGAGTGTCAGCACAAGTATTCGCTTGCAAAAGAAAAACAAAGGAACCATCACATCTCAGGACAACACAACAACACAAATGGTTATCTATGAAAAGCCCAACACATTTCAGCTTATTATAGGTTTTCTTCAGGGTAATGACTCAAGCGAACCAACTTGATGTCTGAACAAGAGAAACATATCATTTCAGTCTTGTGGTTTAATTGATTGCTGGGGGCATTGATGATTGGCTATGTGGCTAATCAAAATTGTTGGCTTAATGTGTTGCTGAAGGCTTTCATGGTTGGAATCACTGGGTTGCTGTGAGTTTTCCGGGCTGTATGGCCATGTTGTAGAAGCATTCTCTCCTGACATTTTGCCTACATCTACAGGAGGCATTGTCAGAGGTTGTGAGATGTGTTGGAAACTAGGCACATGAGGTTTATATATATATCTATGGAAT